GGAAGGAGGGGGGTCTCTCCCCTGCCACAGCAGCCCCCGAGCTGGGGCTGGGAAGGAGGGGGGTCTCTCCCCTGCCACAGCAGCCACAGAGCTGAGGCTGGGAAGGAAGGCCATCTCTCACCGGCAGCTGCAACCCTGGAGCTGGGGAAAGTCGCCTCTTTCTCTGGCCGCCACAGCCCTGCATGTCACAAGTTCCCCTCACCACCTCTTCTCACCCCACTGCCTTCTCCCACCTACCCCCTATTCCCCCCAAGGCCACCACCTCACCTTACATGTGCGTCTTCTCCAGGGTCCAGGCACCTAATTAGTGGAGCCATGCCTGCACGACTCCACTAATTAGGTGGGTGGCCCTTCATTCTCTAGTGTGCAGCCACCCAGGGAATGGAGGGAACTATCTGCAGACCACCTGAATGGAGCTCACGGACTGAGAACCTCTGATCTAGGATACCAATTGACCTGGGGTAAGTGACTGGGGTCTGGGAGCAACCTAAGTGCCATGTGATTTTTGGTGTAAGTGTCCATTTATCACTAAGTCCAGTTTGTCTGGGTGGCAAAATAGGCTGGCGAGTCTAAGGGGACTATCCGTGACTCCATGGCAAGACTGGGAGTTCACATTTGTTACTGGCTTGGTGAAATCTAATTACAGAACAAACCATCAGTGGGTGTCTGCCCTGTTTTTGACAGTCTGCACTGAGGCAGGCAGTCACAGCCGTGAGCCATGCCAGACAGCCTGACATAGCGATTAAAGAGTGATTAATGGGGAGGCAGGTTAATTCCCTTTAAGTTCATTGACCGATCTCTCTTCTCACAATGACCCTGTGACTCTCTTCCCCAGTGCATGTGACACTGGATTCAGACACGGCTCATCCTGTCTGTGAATCAGAGACACGTGAGGCTCTGAGACACATGGTAGGACCGGCCCAACAATCCAGATCAAGTTGATCCTGGTGGCTATGACATGGGCGCTGGGGGGTTCTTCAGCAGGTGGCGTTACTGGAAGGTGAGGGTGGGAGACAAGAGTGAGAGGGGACTGGGGGCTTGTAGGGAACCTGTGAGCAGGAAGGGGGTGAGGGGGTCTAGCACCTGAGCATGGGTACTGGCTCCTCTGGCTGAAGGGAGATTTTTGCCACCCCCTGGCTCCTTCCCACCAACCCAGCTTGGGGGTGGGATTTTCCTGGACTGTGGGGTGGGCAAGATCTCATTGTGCAGTGTGACTGGTCAGTCCCATCTCTTCACTTTTACTGCCACCTTCTCTGGGTCGCCCTGTCCTTCCTTCATCGCTTGTGGTGAGTGGGAGGGGTGGGAGTGGGGAATGCGGGTCCCTTGGCAATCTGCCTGGTTAGAGAGCAGGGCTGAGAGGCTCTGGCAGTGGGAGTCAGGGTTTCTTTCGTTTAGATGTGTGAGGGCAGTTCAGATGATCTCAGCTGACATCAGACACACAGGGAAGGAGGCAAGCTCTGTAATATTGAGGATCCACACTCCCATTTCTCTGAACAGGGAGTGAAATGCAGTGATAAGGATGCACGGCTCAACACTGAGAAATGATGGATGGCCCCAGGAACCACTATATACCTCATGTGTAGGGTCCTACCAAATTCACGGCCATGAAAAAACACATCACCGACCGTGAAATCTGGTCTCCCCCGTGAAATCTGGTCTCCCCCATGAAATCTGGTCTTTTGTATACTTTTACTCTATACTATACTATAGGGTAAAAGTATACAAAAATTCACAGCGTTTCTCAAACTGGGGGTCCCGCTCCAAAAGAGGGTTGCAAGGTTACTGTAGGGAGGAGTCACATTATTGCCACCCTTACTTCTGTGCTGCTGCTGGCATTGCCACTGTCTTCAGAGCTGGACCCCGGCTCTCAGGGTGCCCAGCTCTGAAGGCAGTGCAGAAGGAAGGATGGCAATACTGTGAACCCCCTACAATAGCTTTGCGACCCCCTTTTGTGTCGGGACCCCCAGTTTGAGAAACGTTGAGTGTTAAGGGCTTTACATGTTTATATTTTGCCATTTTAAAATACATATTCATGTTTTATTACACCCCCATGAAATTTAAGATTTAAATATCTGAAACTGTGAAATTCAAGATTTTAAAAATTTATGAAAATGGACTGTGAATTTGGTAGGGCCCTACTCATGCATATTCATTCCTGTACTGGCCTCTTGGCACTGAACACTACACTGGAGCTGTGAGTGCACCATACAACACTACTGACTGACAGATCCATCATCTGCAGTCACATTATCTGGGCTAATGGAACCCTTCTGCCAGGCAGTGACAACAGCAACAAGGGCCGGATTCAATATCTCGGGGTCCCTCTTAAACAATACAAAACAGAACCAGCTACAGCCTCCACCCAGGAATCTGGGAAAACTGAACACCACCTCTGGGTGCTTCTAAGAGGTAGTACTGCCCCACTTGCAAGCACTGAGTCAGTGTATAACGAAAGAGAACTTTTATTAGAAGGGAAAAGGAACCAAGTGTTAAATTGGGAAAACACCACAACCACGTTCCAAGCATGTGACCGCAGTGTGTTGAGCAGTGTCTTTTGCCTCAATTTCCCACATTGCAGTAGGAAAATCCAATGAATGAATGTCCCTTTAACACATCTCACTCACCTCTCCCACTGCTGCACCTCCTCACAGTTGCTGTCCTCAGTCAGCGAAGACCCAGAATTCCGAGGTACATTCATAAAGATTCACCTCCTCACCCACAGAAAGGGAGGGAGCATTGAGCTATGTCTCTGCAGTTGCTATGCTCCTCTGCAACTGGCTGCTTGCTACTGCCTCTGGTCGCTTCCTGCTGCTGTTGGATGTTCACTACCACTTCTGTGACACCGTGTTCTGAGGTTCCACTGCTTAAGTCAGGTGATTTCAGTGGGTCAGAGGGAACCTCACTGACAGTACAACTTCTGCATTGTCCTTCATTTCACCACTATCCCTGCACCAGGTCCAAGACATAGCCCCTAGACTAGCTATCAGGGATTCAGCTGTGGTAATGGCTGAGCAGAAATGATAACTCTCAATTGAGTCTAATCAGCTATTTTTAAATCCTGGAGGAGGAGGAAGGATCAAATGGTGCCTAGAACTCTTTAAACAGAGTCCACATCACATACAAACCTCTCCCCTTCATAGGGATTTGACATCTCTAGCCCCTGCTTAGCAAGTGAGGTTCAGTTTAGGGTGACCCTTTCAATCAAGGCAGGCTAAGCACAGTTCTGCTGCCCTTTACTTGTCCAATCAGGATAACATTTCATTGCCCCTGCTTTCAAATACTAGAGTGATTTGTAACTCAAAACCATCCAGAACTGATCACTTTGGCAAAGCAGCTCCATCTGCTGCGCACCTAGGCAGAGTAGGCGTCAGTGTAAACACAGTCTGCTCCTGAAGTCTTTTCCCCGCAGCTCAGTTCTAGATGTCAGGGGAGAGTTCATTCAGACCTCATTTACATACAGCCTCTGGGTTGTGTTAAACCATCTCTGTGCCTTGAGAGGATGTTTACACTAAGCTGCCCAGAATGACCCCTCGTCCTTTTTCCTTTGTGGTTACAGTTTGTTTCAGCGTGTCTGCCTAACACAAAGTGTTCTTTCCAACATGCTTCACTTTGTTCCTCTCTGTGCTGAACTTCACCTGCCTCTGTGCTGCCCAATCACCCAGTAGACTCAAATCCTTGTGATCAATGAGAATTGTTCAATAGCACTGAAACCCCATCACTTCCTTGCTTCAAAGTGAAATGAGCCGAGATCAGGCATTTTGTGTAACACAGGATAAGTTGTTTGGGATTCACTATCTCTGCATCTCATTGCTAAAGATGAGCAATTAGCTCATACTGAAGAGATGAGCAATTAGCTCATAATGATGAATTTCTTCCAGGAATTGAGCATATTTGCCTGCAATGTAGATCTGCAAATAGATCATGATTCCCTCAGACGTACTGGTTGTTGGATGAGTATCTTTTCAAATTGCTTCACTCTCTGGTTTAATTGCAAATACTCCATAGCTGAACTATCAAGTGTGTTCGTTAGTTGTACTGGGCCATGTAAGTCACATGGTATTGTTTGTTCTTGGCTGGATGATTTTGGATTTAAAATCTGGTTTAACGGATTACTCACATGGGCAACTTGGAAATTCATTTCCACAAACACCTGAGCTAGTAAAGCACAGTTGCTTGAGAGCAAATGATCACAAAGGGGCATGAACAGGGCCAAAGAAAACCCAGGCACAAATTCAAATAATCTTTGTGGGAAATTGGTTGGCATTATTCTGAGCTCTGATCATTATGGACCAGAACCTCAGCTCTAAGGCGCCCTGCTTCCTTCCCCCACTGATCCCCACCCACTGTCCATGTCCTCCAAAGGCCCCAGCTAGTCTGCTGGATCTGCTGACACCAGCACTACAGCTGCTCTTCAAGAAAACATGTGAGTTTAAGGAATGAAACTTTTATGAACATGTGACAGGCACTGACCAGACCCAGCAGGAAACCAACAACCCAAGAACCCTGCTGGAGGGGAGAGGGTTTGTATGACCCCAACCCTAAAGCACTGGAGTAGGTGCAGTGGGGAATGGAAATGGGGAGACTTCACTCTAGGGAGCTGGCACCAGTAGTAGGTTTCTTCTCTCTCCCTTGCACCAGATCAGCAGGAGGCAGAGAGACTCAACAGCACTGAGGAGAGCCAAACCACAAAGCCAAGGGGTCACTGGCCGCTGCCGCTTGCTATGCCATGAAAGGGCAGGCAAAAGGCTGGTGCCATGGGTGGGAATCAGCAGGCAGAGCTGCTGTTCCCATGGATGACCATGCTGGGGGTGGGGGATGGGCAGAGCTGCTGTTCCTGTGGCGTCAGTGTCGGGGGTCTCACAGGGATTTCCCGGGCTAGGGGTGGGGGATGGGCAGAGCTGCTGTTCCCGTGGCTGTGCTGGGCTCTCACAGGGATTTCCGAGGCTGGGGGTGGGGATGGGCAGAGCTGCTGTTCCCGTGGTGGCCATGCCAGGGGTCTCACAGGGATTTCCCGTGCTGGAGTCTCCAGTGGGTGATAACGTTTGAGCTCTGAGTGAAGCTTTTCCCACAGTCGGGGCAGACATAGGGTCTCTCTCCCGTGTGGATTCTCTTGTGCTTGGTCAGGGCAGAGCTGGTGGTGAAGCTTTTCCCGCAGTCAGGGCAGATGTAGGGCCTCTCTCCTGTGTGCACTCTCTGGTGGGTGGTGAGGTGAGCGAACTGGCTGTATCCCCTGCCACACTCATCGCACCGATAGGGCTTCTCGGCCAGGTGGGTTCTCTGGTGCCTGGCCAGGTACGTGCTGGTGGAGAAGCTTTTCCCGCAGTCAGGGCAGTTAAAGCACTTCTCTGTCTGGTGCGTCCTCTGATGCTTGATGAGGAGGGAGCTGTCAGTGAAGCCTTTCCCGCAGTCGGGGCAGACATAGGGCCTCTCTCCTGTGTGTGCCCTCTGGTGGATCGTGAGGGATGAGCAGTCCCGGAAGCTTTCCCCACAGGCCTCGCACCGATAGGGTCTCTCACCCGTGTGCAGCCGCTGGTGCCTCGTGAGGTTGGAGCTGCTGCTGAATCGCCGCCCACACACAGTGCAGGGATAGGGCCTCTCGCCCGTGTGCGTTCGCTGGTGTTTAATCAGGTCTGAGTTCACATTGAAGCTCTTCCCACAGTCCCGGCACCGGTAGGGCCGTTCTCCCGTGTGCAGACGCTGGTGCGTGATGAGATGCGAGCTCTGGCTGAAGCAGCGCCCACACTCCGGGCACTGGTAGGGTCTTTCCCCCAGGTGCAGTCTCTGATGGGTGATCAGATTTGACCTCAGACTGAAGCTTTTCCCACAGTCCTCACACGTGTTGGGTTTCTCCCCGAGGCAGAGTCCCCTGTGGATTGTAGAGTCATTGTGTCTCCCCAAATGTTCCCCAGTGTGACCGGGATTCTCCTGTCTCTCTTCTGGGTGGCTTCCCTGCTCCTTCTCTGACCTGCCCTGACTCCCGCAGGCTTCACCGAGCTCGGGGGAAACATCCCCATCAGATCTCCCTGGTCCCGCCTCATGCGGTTCCACTTGCTCAGGACCTTCCTGCTCAGGGTTCTCCTCCTCGCTCTCACTCACCGTCCCATCACCTGCTGGGACAGAGACAGAATCCAGACAGGAGTCATTCCCTGTGCTAGGGGGAACAAACCAAAGTAACTACCGGGACTACTGTAAGATCAGTACACCAGGAGCTGAATTCCCCTCCCACCCCTTCCTGAGAGGAGGGGGCAAATTGAACCTACACATCCCATCCAAACACTCCATGGAAACGCAGCTGTTGCCAGGTGTGAATCAGGGGGCGGGAAGCCGTGAGTGACATCTGCCATGAGGTTATGACACTGGCTGGGGACAATCCTGACCACCCAGGAGCTCATGAGCCCTTCAAGGGAACCTGATTTTTCTTCACTTCCTGTTTTCCCCCAAGCTGGTTTAACTGATTCCTCACCTGTGCAGGCCTCCCTTGCCCTGGAGATCAGACACCATAACTGTTCTCCTCATTCCAGATGGGAGACCACATTGCTTTTCCAAGACCAGGGTGAATTACCTCTTTGTGGGATATTTATCACAGAGAATGTTCCCAGATTTTAACCCTAGCCCATTTCAAAGCAGTGAAATACCTCTGCCAGCTCTCCAGGGTCTCAAAGTCCAGCCACTTTGCTAATAGGGAACTGGACTCCCACATCTCTGCTCAGAAGACACAGCCAGACACACATCATCAAAGGGGCCCCTCAAATACACAGATAGCACGTCTAGATCTCAGAAAGACGAGATCTAACCCGGGACGGAGCTGCATGGATCTGCTTCTCACTGCCAGAGCTGAGCCCAGTGAGAGTGTGAGGAGGGAATCTTGGGGCCCATGAGCACAAGTGCGGGGCTCAGCACAGTGATAATGGGAGGGTTTTGTCAGAGGATGCAGCAGGGCAGGGGAGTGAGATTTCAAGAAACTGCATTTTGGGGAATGAATGAACCTAGTGAGTCAGGTTCAGCAGCCACAATAGAAACCGTAACTGGTAACAATAATGAGAGGAAGCACTAAAATCCCCAGGCTCTGTGCATGCTGGAGAAAATTACTCTCTAAATAGTATTAATTATGCGTATAGGGCCCTACTGTGCTAGGCACACACACACCTACACGCAGCTAGGCACTGTGTACACACACACACAGCTTAGACACCATGTACACACACAGACACAGACACACAGCGAGGCACCGAGTACACACACACACACGCACGCAGCTAAGCACCGTGTACACATACACACATGCACACAGCCAGGCACTGCGTACACCCACACACAGAGCTAGGCACTATGTGCACACGCACAAAGCTAGGCACCATGTACACACACACACACGCAGCTAGGCACCGTGTACAAACACACACACATACACACACAGTCCCTTGCCCTGAAGCGCTTACCATGGCAGAGGTCAGTTTTAAGGAGGAATCTGAAGGGGGACAATGGAGTGGCTTTGTGTAGTTTACAGTGAGCTCCTCTCATGCTCAGAGGACAGCGGGAGTGGGTGGGGGCTTGAGGGCGGTGCAGACTGATGGGCAGCGTGGCTAGTACAGCTGGCAGAGCAGAGGTGGGGTTCTGCCTCTCGGTAACACATCGGAGATGGTGGGAAGGGCAGGGCGAGGCTGTGAAAGGCCTTAAAAGTGACACAAGTCGTTTATATTTGATGCACTGAAGGGAGGTCCCAGGAGGATGTGGGAGATTGGGGGGAGTTACCATAGTGACAGTACAAGCCAGGAAGATGATCTTTGTAGCAGTTTTCTGAATGGATGTAACGGGCCCAGGATGGCGTTGGTCATGGCCAGAAGGGAGCAGGCTGCAGGCCAGGAACCTCAGGGACATGGCAGCTGAATTGAGGAAGTGCAAATGTTCCCAAACCAACTCAGCAGGGCTGGTGCCGACACCCTGGGTCATTTCAATACAACCAGCCTAATTACAAACCAGTTAAGTCTCTAATGCAGACAAGGCCGCAGGCTCTGGGAGGGGAGGGGATGTGGGCAATAGAGTTATTATTATTCATAGTCAGGTCGTGCTCAGAGACCCCAAGCAGAATTGGGGCCCCATTGTGCTCAGTACTCCACAAACACAGACAGAGACACTATCCCTGCCCCGAAGAGCAGCTCAGAGTCCAGTTTAAAGCCTGTCTGCTCTGGGGAATTTCAGACTTGCTTTCAGCAGGAGTGATCAACACAGCTCTGAAACCAGCTGCTGCTGAGTCCTCTGCACCAGCAATGCCAGTGGGGTGGCTGATCCAGGCGCAGCACCATGACACAAGAGATGTTTCAGCTGCTGTGTTCTATGTAAGGAATTCAGCACTAAGGCTTCTGCACTGCCACCACTAGCTGAAGTGGGGAGAGATCGAAATTAAACTTGTTTAAAATAATAAAAAACGGAGTGGTGACAGTGAATCATAGTGTTAGAGTATACTTAGATGTGGATAGTTGTTTATAATTACAGAGGTTTAATAATTAATAAAGATAGTTTTAGGTAGGGCCGCCCAGAGGATTCAGGGGGCCTGGGGTGTTCGGCGGCGGGGGAATTGCCGTCGAAGACCCAGCACTTCGGCGGCGGGTCCCGGGACGGAAGGACCCCCCGCCGCCGAATTGCCGCCGAAGACCCGGAGCGGAAGAAGCTCCAGGGGCCCGGGCCCCGCGAGAGTTTTCCGGGGCCCCCGGAGCGAGTGAAGGACCCAGCTCCAGGGGCCCCAAAAACTCTCATGGGGGCCCCTGCGGGGCCCGGGGCAAATTGCCCCACTTGCCCCCCCCTCTAGGCGGCCCTGGTTTTAGGTGGTTATGGCTAGCAATAACAAGATAGTGGTCACAAGCAGTCACAGTCAGAGAAATCCAAAATAGAGGTCTGGGAGAGATTTGGCCAATAGCAAGCAGGCAGGCTGAGCAGAAATAAAGGTCACTCCAAAACCTGAAGGGAGTGGTCAGTCAGACAAGAGGTAAGTCTTCAAGCAGGTCAGTCAAAAAAGGCACAAGTTTTCAATCTGGTCCGGCTTTGATTGACAGCTAGGTTAGCACCCATGATTGGTTCATAAAAAGGAAAGGCCCAATCAGAGAAGGCTAGAATCTGTATTTAAGGCAGAAAACTGGCAGATTTCACTCAGTATGAGGCAAGTAGAAGGTACTAGTGTGTGAGTGAACAGAAGGAAAATCAAGAAGAAGAAGAAAAGAGTTAAAATCACTTAAGAAGAGATGAGCAGTAGCAACACCGATAACAGTAACAGAGCAGAAGGAGCTGTCAGAGAGAAAAGAAGACAGCAGAGAAAGTAAGCAGGATAATCCTCCTATAAAGAATAATTAAACTGTGTGAATGTGTATGCGTAGGGTAATAAAGCTGGATGTTTGTGTATGTTTGTTATGATTTAAATGTGTAAGGATTTGCTATCAGCAGTCTATGTTTCTGGCCATCACATGTGGAACATAACCACTTGAAGCTATTTTCAGTTGTATGGTACTGCAATTTTGAATACTTTGATGTGTATCTGTGCTAATAGAGTTTATGCCTTGTTAAGAAAATTTATGGATTCTTTATTCTTTTAACAAATTTGTATTAAGGAATATTGTGCTAAATAAAGAATATTTTTGTCTTCAAAGAATACTGCCTGAGTGTCAATCCTTTGAGAGGAAGCCTGTATCGGTTTCTTTCCAAGGGTCAACAGAGCTAATCTGTTCTGGGGAGTCCTCCAAAGTTTGGAGAGAAACCCCCTGGTAAAACCCTGGCAATGCTCTAGGGTGGGCCCGTCCCCTTTTACCTACCAAAACAGATAAATTAACAGAATTATTGGGGTAGGCAGGCCATTATGGGGTGCCTCTAATTTTGGAGCTAACAGCCCCACATAGACACAAGACAATGAGTGAGTGTAACTAACAGATTGTAAGGAGGGATCTGGGTTTCCAGACTAAAACAATCAGATGTTTTAACTCCAATAAAGATAAACGAACAAACTGATGCTCCAGCTGCATTTACTTGCACAGTATTTTGGAAAAAGCAAACTTGCAGTGAGGGAGGGATGGGAGATTAGTGCCCTCAGAGATCAGACAGTTAAATGGACAGCGTCAACTTAAAATCACACTCCTGTCTGAAAATCTCTAACCCGCTACTGCTGCAGGTGACACCTAATGTCAGTGTCAATGAAGGGTTTAGAGAGCATTTTCTATTTCACCCCAGTCTGCTTTGTGCTAGTGCCAGCACTTGGCATGGAAGTTTCGCTATCTCTCCTGTAGTGTTAGATGTCCTCAAACAGTTATGGGGGAGAGAAAAGCCTTCTGGTTTAAAAATGGGAAAACAAGGTTGTACAACCACAAAAATTGGCTGCAGGACTCTAGGCAGGGGCAGTGCCTGGAACTATATGTAACTCATTGTTTGGAACTGGACTCGAGTCCAGGCTGACAGGCCCCAGGGAAATGCCACAGAGATTTCAGAGTTTGTTTAGCCAATTCCTCACCTGCCCATGAGCCTCTTGGACTCTCCCTTTCCTCAGCACCCTGGAGATTTGGGACCCACAGCTCTTCCCCTTGTTCCATCTGGAGACCACGCTGGGTTTTGAGAATCAGAAATCCTGCCAAAGGGGAAAGAAACCAGACGAGATCAGGGTGAATTAAATAGCCATGGAATATTTGTTACCAAGAACATTTCATGACTTCAAGCCAGCCCCTTCCTGCACTGAAGACAGGTGGGATCCAAATGGATCAGAACATGGTTTGTGGAGGCTATTTGGGGAGCCAGATATCTAGGGAATGTGTTACACCCTCGGTAGGAGCCTTAAGCATCTCAAAGCACCCACTCTTCTGCAAGGATGCAAACAGCTGTCTGTTCCACGTCCTCCTCAAGCCACCAGCTCACATCAAGGCAGCCTGGCTCAGGTGTGACTTTCATCTGCTCTGTTAATAGTGATTTTCATCTGCTCTGTCTAGGGCTGAGTTAACATTTGCTCAAGGGGGAGTTTACCCTAAGACATTTCATACACTAGGCCTGGAGTCTGCAATCGCTCATACACATGCTTAACTTTGAGCCCAGTGAGGATTTAGTATTCCCAGGAGAAGGGCCTATGTCAGAGTTGCCAATTCTCACACTGTTACTGTGACTCATGGGATAGCTCACATTTTTCTTAAAGCTCCACCCCACCTTCTGGATTCAAGTGATCAGGTCAGAATCTTGTTTTTTTTTATTTTGGTGAAAACCAAGTTTCTAGCCATTGTGGCTAAGAGAAAAGCTTAAAAACACAAAGTGGGTACACCCTAAAGGTACAGAATCCAGAGGGCAAAGAGAAAAGAAGCAGAATTTCAGTTTTTCAAAAAGCCTCATGATTTGTAAGCCAATCTCCTGATTTGGGGGGACTGAGTCATGATTTTTCAACTGCTGGGGCTGGCAATACTGTTTTCTGGCCTTTTTTTGTTGTTATTGACACTGACAGATGTGTCAGCCCTTTGTCTGCAAAGGGACAATTTCTGCTTTATGCTGAAATAGAAATTAAATTTAGAAAACATGAGTAAACCTCAGCGCTGGGTTAGTGTCAGGCCTGCTAGAGTATTTTTCGGGAGCAATATCAAACCGTTTGCAGTGAAGTGCAGCTCCCTGGCAGCTTCTTAGCCCATGGGGGGCTGCCTCTACCTTGCCCTTCCTGCAGGGGCCTTGGCCTCTACCTCCAGCTGCTCTGCTACAGGAAAGGCTGTTACTGTCACAGTGTTAAGGACTTTCTCCTCCTTTAGGTCCTTTCCAGTCAGGACCCGGAAGCCCTGAACAGACCTCGCTAGGTTGGCAGGGCTGGTGCCTCTGACCTCCCTCCCCACTGATTGCTCCTTCTGGCCCTTCCAGTCTCTCCCCTTGTCTCCCCTCGGAATGGGAGACTCGGTCCCTGGCCCGGCCCGGGGCGTTCGCTCTCCCGGAGCTGGCTCGGCTCCTGCAGGCGCTCAGGGGAGCAGAGCCGGGGTGGGGGGGTCAGGGAGGGCAGCAGCTCTGGGACTCGCAGACCCCCGCCGCCCGGGAGCGGAGCTGAGGCGAGGAGGGGCCGTTGGTGCAGAGTCACTTTCCTGCCCGGCCCCAGCCCTTTCCCCCGGGTCTCTCCCCTCACCTGCAGGCTCCGGCTCAGGAGCTGGTGTCGGCAGAGCCCGGGGCTGCCCCAGGGGCTGGTTCCAGCCCCCGGAGAAAGCCACGGTCCCGGAGCGCTGCAGCCCGGGCTGCTGATACAGGGGACAGGAAGGGGCTGGAGTAGCTGCGCGCGGTAGCTGCTGGGTGCTGGGGCGGGGGAGGAAGGAGACAGCGAAGCACGGGAGAGCTGAGCCTGTGCAGCTCCGGACCGCACTGAAACCTGTTACCAGCTCCTGCCGCCTCTATTGTGAGCCGGGAGCCCGGGCTGAGCCGCTGCTGCTCCCCTGCGGGGTCTGTGCGGGGAGAGCTCTTCCCTAGCGCCCCTCTGTGCCGGGGTAGGGGTGGGAAGGAACATATCTGTCTGTTCTGATTCAACATCCCCACCTGCAGTGTGAGAAATCTCCCAACACACATGGGGGTTTGTAATCCCCCGGCCCTCCAGCTACCGGGATGGTGGGGGGAGAGAGACAACACAATGTTTGGGAAGAAGAAAACAAGCAAAACTGTGTCTTTGTTTTTAGGAAGGAAACACTCCGCAGTGTTCTTAGGCCTCCCCCATGCCCCCTGGAGAAGCACAAAAGCACACAGGCCCTGAGTCGCCTTCCCCTCTCATAGATCCAGAAGGGACCATATAAGTTCATCTTATCTGTGTATCACACACCAGTTCATTTTACCCAGTCATCCGAGGCGAGTCACCTGTGTTTGGGGAACACATCCTCCAGGAAGGCAGCCAGGCTGGATTTGAAGACGTCCAGAGATGGAGACTCCTCTTCAGGGCACCTTTAAAGAAAGGCCATTAAAAAGCATTCCACCCAAGTCTCCAACTTTAGACTTTGTCATTTTATTGCTATTTCTTCCATATTGAAAAAACAATCTCTGTCTCTCTTCAATATTGATTTGAAAAAAAATTATCTCCAGTTCTGCCACTTTTCTCTCTATCAAACACTGATATAAAATCCATTCAGCTTCCCCTGTCTCTCAAATTATGGAACATTTATCTATACCCCACCCCACGTTTTGCCCTCTATTGAATATTTCTATGAAATCCCTTCAGATTTTTGCCTTTGCTTATTGTCAAATATTCTATAAATCATCTCTAATTTTCCCACTTTCCAGCTAATCGAGTATTGATCTAAATCCCTTCAGATTTTCACTCTTTTCAGTTTAATTATTGAATATTGCTATTAAATCGTCTCAGATTTCAGGCTTTCCATGTAATTATCAAATACTGATATAAAATCCTCTAAATTTTGTATTGTTTCCCCATGCTTAATTGTGCCCACATCTCCTTTTTTGGAGGGAAACTTGTCCTGATCCATTGGGGGCCTGCTGGGCAGAGGGTTTAAAAGCCCAATTGATAAATTTCCCCCTCATGTTTGAGCAAATTGTTTCCTTTGTTTATGTCCATTAAAAAACATTTGCTGATTAAGTGACTGTCCCATATTTTATAGCTCCTTTAAAGTCAGCTTTATAAATCAGGGAGCTTTAATCCTATAGTCCAGAATTTTCCCAGGAGCTCAGTTTCTATTTCGACACCGAAAGTGGCCAGCTTTCCAAAACAGCTCAGCACATTGTGTGCACATTCAGAGCTGAGCACTTTGAAAATCTGGCCTTGAGCTCTGTTGGGAGTTTGGCCCAGAAAACTCTGATTTCCTGTCTGGATTATCTTGAGTAGGCCTGTTGCTCAATGAGGGGGGGAAAGACAATAACAGAAAATGTGGAAATGGCAGAGATGCTTAATGACTTCTTTGTTTCGGTTTTCACCAAGGAGGTTGGTGGTGATTGGATGTCTAACATAGTGAATGCCAATGAAAATGAGGTAGGATCAGAGTCTAAAATAGGGAAAGAATAAGTCAAAAATTACTTAGACAAGTTAGATGTCTTCAAATCACCAGGGCCTGATGAAATGCATCCTAGAATACTTAAGGAGCTGACTGAGAAGATATCTGAGCCATTAGCGATTATCTTTGAAAAGTCATAGAAGATGGGAGACATTCCAGAAGACTGGAAAAGGGCAAATATAGTGCCCATCTATAAAAAGGGAAATAAGGACAACCTGGAGAATTACAGACCAGTCAGCTTAATTTCTGTACCCGGAAAGATAATGGAGCAAATAATTAAGAAATCAATTTGCAAACACTTAGAAGATAATGAGGTGATAAGTAACAGTCAGCATGGATTTGTCAAGAACAAATTGTGTCAAACCAACCTGATAGCTTTCTTTGACAGGGTAACAAGCCTTGTGGATGGGGGGAAGTGGTAGATGTGGTATATCTTGACTTTAGTAAGGCTTTTGATACTGTCTCGCATGACCTTCTCATAAACAAACAAGCGAAATACAACCTAGATGGAGCTACTATAAGGTGGGTGCATAACTGGTTGGAAAATCGTTCCCAGAGAGTAGTTATCAGTGGTTCACAGTCATGCTGGAAGGGAATAACAGGTCCCACAGGGATCGGTTCTGGGTCTGGTTCTGTTCAATATCTTCATCAATGATTTAGATAATGGCATAGATAGTACACTTATAAAGTTTGCGGATGATACCAAGCTGGGAGGGTTTGCAAGTGCTTTGGAGGACAGGATTACAATTCAAAATGATCTGGACAAACTGGAGAAATGGTCTGAAGTAAATAGGATGAAATTCAATAAAGACAAATGCAAAATACTCCATTTAGGAAAGAACATTCAGTTCCACGCATACAAAATAGGAAATGACTTCCTAGGAAGGAGTACTGCAGAAAGGGATCTGGGGGTCATAGTGGATCACAAGCTAAATATGAGTCAACAGTGTAACACTTGCAAAAAAAGAAAATATTCTGGGATGTATTAGCTGGAGTGTTGTAAGACACAAGAAGTAATTCTTCTGCTCTACTCCACGCTGATTAGGCCTCAACTGGAGTATTGTGTGCAGTTCTGGGTGCCACATTTCAGGAAAGATGTGGACAAATTGGAGAAAGTCCAGAGAAGAGCAACAAAAATGATTAAAGGTCTAGAAAACATGACCTATGAGGGAAGACTGAAAAAACTGGGTTTCTTTAATCTGGAGAAGAGAAGACTGAGAGGGGACACGATAACAGTTTTCAAGTATAAAAGGTTGTTACAAGGAGGAGGGAGAAAAATTGTTCTTCTTAACCTCTGAGGATAGGACAAGAAGCAATGGGCTTAAATTGCAGCAAGTTTTAGGTTTGACATTAGGAAAAACTTCCTAACTGTCAGGGTGGTTAAGCAGTGGAATAAATTGCTTAGGGATGTTGTGGAATCTCCATTGTTGGTGATTTTTAAGAGCAGGTTGGACAAACATCTATCAAGGATGGTCTAGATAATACTTAGTCCTGCCTCGAGCATAGGGGACTGGACTAGATGACCTCTCGAGGTCCTTTCCAGTTCTATGATTCTATGATCCATGTAAGTGGGAACACTTTCTGTACATGGAATTCATTACCATGTGGATTACAGTGCCGTGTGCCCTTGTGACTCAACTCAGTGCTGTTTAGACACAAAACCATAACCCCACCAGGGAAATTACCGGGTTAGCACAAAGACTACGGGATAGATTCACACAGGGGCATGGGCACTGAGCTGCATCTTTAGGTGCCTAAATCCAACATTTAGGTGCCACTGACATTTCCAAACCAACGCTCAGCTGCCACTTAACCCTGTAGGTGCCAAAATTAATTCAGTTTTTACAATGAAAATTTCCTCCACACCTGTGTTTCTGCCTCTTGGCCATATGCACTGCTGCCTCCTGCTGGGCACCTGGATATTACCAGCTGTGTTGGTGAAGCACACCGGGGGAGACGAGGAGCTCCCATGCGTGGGGTCCCATCCGGTCGGTGTGCTGAGAGGCTGCCTTACTCCGCATGAACCGAGGGGCAGGGAGCAGGCCCTGCCTCATAACTTTTAGCCCTCTGGCTGGGGTACTCACTTGGGATGTGGAAGACCCTGGGGTCAAGTCCCCCATCTGCCTGCTGTGGAGAAGGAATGAGAAGAGGGAGCTGTTACTTCTCAGGTGAGTGCCCGAGCCACTGGGCTAAGGGCTAATCTGATGTGAGGCTCCCTGACTCGCTCGTAGTGAAATGTGCATACATAAATAGTTACTGGGCCACAGAGAGGGTGAGGGTGACTCTATAGCCCCATGGGCAGGGCACTTGCCTGAGGCGGGACAGACCCAGAATCCAGTCCCCCTGCTCCGATGATTCAAAGTGGAACAGCTCCAACAAGAGAGATTGAAGGAGCCCCACATTAGACTATCCCATCGCCCCAGGTATGTCTGTACTCTAGTGCAGTGCTTCTCAAACTATCTGATGTGGCGGATCGGCAATTATTTTTCCCCAATGTGCCAGGGACCGGTACCATATTTGCCAGGGACCGGTACCATATTTGTGCCATATTATTATCGTTTTTGCATAGGCACGTAGCACATCAAATCAGAAACTAACATTCTTCACTGTATTAATTGGAATGGGAGTGTGGCGTACATGCAGAGATGTTCCCATTTAACTACATTAAAGACTGACTGAAAGGCTGTGCTTCTGTGCGGATAGTATAAAATGACTATTATTCGTTTACGATCCAAGAAAATATTATTTGAACATTCGTTATTAATTAATTAATATATTAATTTATACTGGAAACAATATAATGAATAAAATAAAAGTTGGCAGACATTTTTTATTTTATGTTTATTTTGTAAACAAATAATACAATATTATAATACAAATAAAAAATATTAAAAAATCAAACCAGCAAAGTCTCCTAACAAAGATATTATTAAAAAAATTAACACAATAATAGGCATGTTAAAACCTTAACCTTTCTGAATGTGAAAGGTGAGCCTGCTTCTTCTTTGTCAGCTTATCCAATCGTGGTTCAATTGAGGACAGTGCCACATGCAATGGAGAATGACTATCCATACTATTCCTGTACTTTGTCTTAATGACACTCATGGTTGAGAAGCCAGTCTCGCAGAGATATGTTGAAGGAAATGGGAGAAGAGTTTTCAGAGCAATTTCAGTAAGCTCAGGATATTCTGCTTTCACTTTTATCCAAAAGGAAGCAAGTGATGTTGTAGTTTCGAAACTCAT